AAAAATTATCCAGCTAAAACAAAGATTTCAAGAAGATTTGAGCATAAATTATTGAAAGATTGTCTTGATAATAATAAAGTCATCAATGTATTAATCAACAGCATGAACACCATATCAGTTTGTTCAGGATCTCTATTGTGCAGTTAACATAATTTATATGTTATTTAGAACCTATATTAATAACCTATTCCGAACCTAGTCACTTTTTTAACTGCGCAAAAGTCTCTAATGTAAAAATCCTATTTTTTTAAAATAAGTTTGGTTCAGTTCGGCACTTTGAGTTTGTGTTATGATGCTTCACGTTGTGTGAATACTGGAGGTTTATATAAGATCATCTTTGGAAGTGGAACAAGATTAACCGTTGAAACCAGTAAGTAGTAACATCATAATAATTATTTATACGAGGCATCTTTAACAGCAAACTTTACAGTGTTTGACATGAATATTTTCAAATCTGAAGTAGCAGATAAAAACGTATAATGACTCGTAGTTATCTGGACTGACTGAGTAAACAGCTGCTGTCCGTGATGGAAATTATTCATGCAACTCTTCAAAATCATAAAATCATCAAGTATAAACTTATTCAACAAAATGGTGTTGATGAAAACTTTGTATCTATAAAATATCTCCTTTCACAATCCAAGAAAACTGTTTTGGGTATAAAACCAAAAATGCAGTCTCATCCAATTAAAACTCTAAGATATAGAGAAGTTTAAACATAAGAAAAAAGGCTATAAATTATTGAAAGAGAGTCTTCAATGTAAAAGATTATATCTAAAACAGTTGGACCAGTATCTCTGCTGTACAGTATCTAGCGAGATTTACATAAATTTTTTAATTTATCATGCATTTGTTTTTAATAAAAATAAGATCTTGTGATTAAATTATTTAAAGATTGTCACATTAATATTTATCACAATCAATACATGCATTAATCAATGAAAAATCAATGTACTTTTTATTAGAGCATCATCGCTAAAACAGTCCCTTCGCTATCTCTACTGTACATATCATGTTCTATTTATATAATATATATATAAATAATATTATAATGTATATTATAAATAAAGGTACAAATAGCAGCATATTATTGTGACTGGAATGTAATCATTCAGACAACAAAATGTAAAATCAATGTTTTTCTTAATGGAGTTTGGTTCAGTTCATCAGTCTGCTCAGTTTGTGTTATGGTGCTTCATGTTGTGTGAATGCTGGAGGTGTAGCGAAGATGACCTTTGGAAGTGGAACCAGATTAACCATTGAAGCCAGTGAGTACTAATATAAATCATACATTTAATTTATATGGAGAATCTTTAAAAGCAAACTTTACTTGTTTCACACACAAAACTAGAATAGAAAATAAAAAAGATAAAAAGCTGTATTTAGTGTGAGTCACTGATGAAGTCAAACAGAATCTTCAATGTATTAATTAATCAATTAATCAAAAGTATCAACAGTAAACCACTTCGAACAGTATCTCTACTGTACGGTAAAATTTACATTTAATTCAGACAGAAATCTTAAATATAAAAACTATATTTTTCTAAATGACGTTGGTCCACTTTGCTGAGTTTCTGTTATGGGGCTTCTTGTTGTGTGACTGGAGGTGCAAATCAATATAAGATCATCTTTGGAAGAGGAACTAGATTAACCATTGAAACCAGTAAGTACTAATAGAGATTATAACCCAGAATTTGTAGTTTGGGTGTTATTTAAAGGTTTAAAGAGAGTTTTACAAACCTTAATGGTTGAAAGATTGTCTCAATCATATAAATCACAATACATTAACTGAGCATGAATTGAATAAAACCTCAATCTATTAACCAAGCACATAGTCACAAAATCAGTTTAGTCAGTATGTCAATTTACATTTAATTTAATATTTTATGTTATATGTATAGCTACATTATTGTAATATTATAATATATTGAACGTACAAAGAGCAGCTTATTGTTATGACTTGACTGTAATCATTCAGACAAAAGTCTTGAATGTAAAAACAATGATTTTCTAAATGAAGTTTGGTTCAGTTCATCATTTTGAGTTTGCGTTATGGTCCTTAATGTTGTGTGAATACTGGAAGTACAAATAAGATCATCTTTGGAAGTGGAACAAGATTAAACATTGAATCCAGTAAGTACTGTTAGAGATCATATTGTTTAGAACAAACGTCTTCAAAAGCAAACTTTACAGTTTTACACTGAAACATGCACGTCTGTCAATATTTCAGAAACCAAGAAAACTTTTTATGAAACTTAAAATAACAAAATTATTAAAGAAAACATCGCTAGTCAGTATCTCGACTGGACAGTAAATATCAGAATCTACATAATATTTATGATATATATTTATAATATGCAAGTGTTTTTAATGAAAGTTTTTAAAAAGCAACCAATTTTTATGATTGGACAGAAGTCATAAAAGTCTCAAATGTAAAAATTATATTTTTTCTAAATGGAGTTTGGTTCACTTCAACACTGCTGAGTTTGTGTTATGGGGCTTCATGTTGTGTGAATACTGGAGCTGCAAGTAAGATCATCTTTGGAAGTGGAACCAGATTAAACATTGAAGCCAGTAAGTAGGAATACACACCATAATAATTATTTCCACAAGGCGTCTTTAAAACAAACTTCACAGTGTTTGACATGAATATTAACAAAACCAGAGTAGCTGAGTAAAAAAAGTAAAAAAAAAACAATAACTTGTAGTTAACTGGACTGATTGATGAGTGAACAGCTCCTGACAGTGATGGAAATTATTAATTCAACTTTTCAGAATCATAAAATCATCACAAAGTATAAAATATTTCAAAATAATGAGATGAAAACCTTGCATCTATAAAAATGTCATCCTTTCAGAATCTAGGAATACAATTTTGGGGATAAAGCCAAAAATACAGATTTGTTTAACTAAAAAAAGATTTTTAGTATAAATTATTGAAAGAGAGTCTTCAATGTAAAAGATTGTCCCTAAAACAGTTGGTCAGTATCTCTGCTGTACAGTGACAAGTGAGATTGATTTACATTTCATTTGTAATTTATCATGTGCAATTGTTTTCTAATTAAAGCAGTGTTGAGTGTATGAGACTGGAATGTAATCATTCCAGCAAAAGTCTCAAATATAAAAACAATATTTTTTTCTAAATTAAGTTTGGTTCAGTTCATCACTCTGTTGAGTTTGCGTTAAGGTGTCTAACGTTGTGTGAATACTGGAGGTATAAATAAGATCATCTTTGGAAGTGGAACCAGATTACACATTGAAACCAGTAAGTGATGATATAGATCCTAATCAATATTTATACCAGTTGTCTTTAAAAGGAAACTTTAACATGTTTTGTTAAACTGAAAAACGTTTGATGTCATCCAAAGATTTCACCTTAATCATAATAAATACATCAGCATTCAAGTATCACAAAAAAAGTCTCTAAAACTATAATCTATGTAATATTTATAATTACATTTATAATGTGCTAGTATTTTTAATGAAATTAAATTTTAAAAAAGCAACTTATTTTTTATGACTGGACAGAAGTCAGAAGTGTCGAATGTAAAAATTATGTTGTTTTAGTGAAGTTTGGTTCAGTTTGATTATAGTGCGTGCCACATATTGTGTGAACGCAGCATATAAACTCATTTTTGGAAGTGGAATCAGATTAAACATTGAACCCAGCAAGTGCTGATATAGAACTTAAACACTATTTAAATGTAACGTCTTTGACTCAGTGGTGAGTCCAGCAGTGAGTAGTAATTTGGAAAAATCAAGTCACGAAGAGAACTGACCGTAAAACAGTTTGTTCTGTATATATGTTGTACAGTGAATACCACAATTTACATTTTTATTTATAATATACTATATATTAACCATTTTTTAAAATGAAAGTAGTGACATTATTAACTGGACAAATTCTCAAATGTAAAAATTATGTTTTTCTAAATAGTTTGGTTCACTTCAACACTGCTGAGTTTGTGTTATGGGGCTTCATGTTGTGTGAAAACTGGAGCTGCAAGTAAGATTATCTTTGGAAGTGGAACCAGATTAAACATTGATGCCAGTAAGTAGGAATACCATAATAATAATTGATACGAAGCATATTTAACAATCAACTTTGCAGTTTTATATGTCAATTTTACCAAAACCAGAGCAGCAGATAAAAAAATAAAATTTTGTAGTTATCTTGACTGATTGATGGGTGAACAGCTGTTGACAGTGATGGAAATTATTAATTCAATTACTCAGAATCATAAATCATCACAAAATATAAAATAATTCTATATAATACTGTTGAGATGAAACCCATCAATATAATATCCTCCTGTCAAAAACTGGGAACCCAGTTTTGGGATAAAGCCTCATCAAGCCAAAACTGGAAAAGATTTTTATGTTAAGTTTTTATGAATGTAAATTATTGAAAGAGTGTTTAATGTAAAAGATTGTCCCTGAAACAGTTGGTGCAGTATCTCTGCTCGACACTTAACTATTGAGATTTACATATTTTATATTTACCATGTGCATTTGTTTTTAATTAAAGCAGTGTCTTGTTTATGTAACCATTCCAGCAAAAGTCTCAAATGTAAGAACGTTGTTTTTCTAAATGAAGTTTAGTTCAGTTCGTCAATATATTGAGTTTGTGTCATGGCAATTCATGTTGTGTGAATGATGGAAGTGCATACAAACTCATCTTTGGAAGTGGAACCAGATTAAACATTGAACTCAGTAAGTACTGATGGAGATCATAATCAATACTTATACTAGTCATCTTTAAAAGGAAACCTTACAATTCTTTATGCTTAAATTTCAATATTTCAGAAACTAAGGAAACAGTTTTTGTTTTATCTGGATGATGATGCAGTTTTGATGTTAGCCAAAGATTTAAAGCGAGATTTCATGAAACTTATCATAATAAATACATTAGCCATGCAAGTACTAAAGAAAAGCATATCTAAATATGCCAACCTATTTATATGACTGGACAGACGTCATAAAAATCTTTAGTGTAAAAATCATGTTTTTTTTTTATGGAGTTTGGTGGTTTGTCACTGCCGAGTTTGTGTTATGGTGCTTCATGTTGTGTGAATACTGGAAATCAAAATAAGCTCATCTTTGGAAGTGGAACCAAATTAACCATTGAAGCCAGTAAGTAGTAATAACTTACTTAATAAACTTTACAATGTTTGGCATGAATATTTAATACCATATAATACCATAGTAGCCGATTTAAAAAACAAAAGAAAATTGTTATCTGGACTAATTGATGACTGAACAGCTGCTGACAGTGATAGAAAGTATTAGTTGAATCTTCAGAATTATCAAATCATCACAAAGTATAAAATCATTCAATATAATACTGTTGAAATGAAGATCTTCTAAGTTTAAAATGTCATCCTTTCAGTATCTGGGAACAAAATTTTGGGGATAAACCACAAATACAGCCACATCCAGCCAAAACTTTAAAAGATTCAAATAAGTTTTTAAGAGTGTAAATTATTGAAGATGGTTCAGTGTAAAAGATGGTCCCTAAAACAGTTGGTCCAGTATCTCTGCTGTACAGTGTTACATTTCATTTTTAATTCATTATGGGCATTTGTTTTTAATTAAAATAATGTCTTGTTTATGTTACTGGAATGTAATCTTTCCAGAAGAAGTCTTAAATATAAAAACAATGTTTTTCTAAATGAAGTTTGATTATCGAGTTTATGTTATGGGACTTCATGTTGTGTGAATACTGGAACTAAGATAATTTTCGGAGGTGGAACCAGATTAAACATTGAACCCAGTAAGTACTGATAGAGATCATAATCAATATTTATACCTGACGACTTTAAAAGCAAACCTATAGTGTTTTACACTGTTTACACAGATGAAAAACATTCTAAATATCAATATTTCAAAAAAGAAATTTGTTTTATTGTTTTATTTGGATGATGCTGCAGTTTCGGTGTTATCCAAAGATTTAACACCAATAATAATAAATACATCAACCATGTAACAAGTATTTAAGAAAAGCGTTGCTATAACAGTACTGGACAGTAAATATTAGAATCTACTTAAAATGTATGAAATACATTTATAATGTGTGAGCATTTTTAATGAAAATAGTACTTTTTATGACTGGACAGAAGTCATAAACATCTCAAATCTAAAAAATATCTTTTTATAAATGGATTTTGGTTCAGTTCATCAGTCTGCTGTATTTGTGTTATGGTGCTTCATGTTGTGTGAATGCTGGAGGTGGATATAAGATCATTTTTGGGAGTGGAACCAGATTAAGTATTGAAACCAGTAAGTAACAATACTTTTCAGAAATTAAGAAAACTGTTTTTGTTTTAACTGGATGTGGCTGCAGTTTTGATGTTATTCAAAGATTCAACACTAATATTAATAAATACATCAACCAACCAAGTATTACAGAAATGCAATGCTAAAAAGTTTGCTCAGTATCCCTACTGTACAGTTCATATTAGAATCTACATAATATATGTGATATACATTTATAATGTGCTAGCATTTTTAATGAAAATAGTCATAAAAATCTCAAATATAAAGAGTATGTTTTCCTAAATTACGTTTGGTTCACTTCATCAGTCTGCTGAGTTTGTGTTATGGTGCTTCACGTTGTGTGACTACTGGAGCTGGATATAAATTCATTTTTGGAAGTGGAACCAGATTAACCATTGAAACCAGTAAGTAGTGATACTTTTCAAAAACTAAGAAAATGGATGATGCAGTTATCCAAACATTTAAACAGCTTTTATGAGACCAACCGGCTGCAAGATGTGGTTGTCTTGGTCATTTTAATCTTAAACATAAGAATTATAAAGTTATCAATAAATGTAGATAGTTAAAATACAATCTGGGTAATTAAGTTTAAAACAAATTTTCTGTAGTCATTTTTTTTAGATGATATTTGGTTCGTCGAGTTTGTGTTATTGGGCTTCATGTTGTGTGACTACTGGAAATCAATTTAGGATCATCTTTGGAAGGGGAACCAGATTAAACATTGGACCCAGTAAGTACTGACACGAATTAGAAGCATCAATTACAGCATTTTGCAGGTCTAGTTTTATCTTTAACTGACTTGTGGACAGAAAGTGAGTTGAGTTTTAGGTTTTGACTTGTCCTTTGGTTTGACTCTTTCTTTGAGTTTTTGAAAACGCTGTTCCAAATTGATCAACAAGAAGTGTTGTGTTTCTTGATTATGATCAGTACAAACTCTAAAAACAAGCTGCAGTTTGAACACATTTAGACTTCATAAAGTGAACCAATACTTGAAGCCAAGCGGAACCAAACTAAACACTAACTAACTAACGTTTCCCACTATCGTCACGTAATGTAAAATTTCCATTTCTGGATTCCAAAACTTGTCTGTTTGAAAGTTTTGAATCATTTCTATAACTTTGTTTGAGTTTAGCCAAAGGGGGCTGTTTGCTGAGTTGAGTCAATGAGATTTGTGTGCTGAGGCTTCAGACTGTGTGACTGTCAACAAGATTATCTTTGGAAGCGGCACCAAACTTCATGTTTACACTAGTAAGTTGAATTGTTTTTAAAATGTGTTTCAAAATGCTGTAAAATACATTGGTTCTCTTTATTAGAATGAAATCATTTCTCCAGCAAGATTCAGAAAATTATTTAATTTGAATGTTTAACTTTGGTAAAGAAGAACAAAACTGGCAAGCAAAATGTAAAAAATTATGTTTGGAAGTCTAATATTCTAAAGTAGAAGCACAAATTAAGTAAAATCAATTGAACATTCTTAAGATTATCTTAAACTCACAAAATTCCCTTGAATTCCCTGAAAAAAATTTCTAACTGTTGATGTTTTTAAGATTTTGACAGGCAGTAATTTTACATACAGTAATATATCATATAATATTTGTCTACAATGAAAGGTTGTAACAAGCAGATGATATATACATTTTAGAAGATATTTCATTGGTTTATTAAGAGTTGGAAATATTCAATGTGAGCTGAAATACTTTTTTTTTTACTTTACCACTTTGTTCAATTTGTTTTTTCTACATTTTGGTGAAAGAAAACATTTGATAGTGTGTGATAGACCACGGAGGGTTTATGTCCTGTCAGTTCATACTGTGGGACAAACACTGCCAGAATAACGTTTGGAGCTGGAATCAAACTGACTGTGGAGACCCGTGAGTCATTCAGACATAACACAGAATTTAATATTCATTTTCATTAAGCAAATACTGTTTTTGTGGATATAAGACATGGAAGTCATTTCAAATGCGACTGTTGTTAGAGAACAAATTATCTTCACACTTAAAATACCATTTTCTTCATTTGCATACGTTAACAACTTACCGTTTGTAAAACATAACTGGTTGCAGATGATGTGGTTAAATCCAAAGAACCAGTTAAAACCTCCTAAAGGGAAATGTAAAATTAGAATATGTGAAACCACAAATGTTCTTTTTTGCTGGGAAAAGACATTAAATAATCCAGTTGCTATAGGTTAAATGTACTAAATACAAATATAACTTACATCCGATACTGTAAGAATCGTGTGCCATAAAATTTACAGATCCTCTTAACATAAAAATAATGACTTCACTGAATTTTAATAATAATAAAAGCAAAGTTGAAACCTTTAGTAAGGTTACACTGATTACCAAACGCTCACTCTTTACTTTTTTAAAAGCAACAATCAAGTTACTAATTTATGAGAACAAATGTTAAAGTTAATTTTGACCGTTTGTTAATCTCTGGATTAGAACACTGAGTTGTTGATGTGAAGCTGTCAGAGCCCTGCACAGTTTATGTAGTGGTGTTTTGTGTTGTGTGAATACTGGAACTTACAAGCTGATCTTTGGGTCGGGGATCAGACTGAACGTTGAAGCCAGTAAGTCCAGTTAGATTTCTTTAATTTAAAAAATCTCTCTAAACCCCGGATTCTTAACTTTCATAAACAATGATCACAAGATCTGACGTCTTTGAAGTTAAGTGTTAATGTGATCTCAAATCTTTAAAATGGTGGAAACCTGATTTTGAATTGTCTGCTGTCAGTTTCAGTGTGTAATTTAGATTCAAGCCATTTAAATGCTATCATGATATAGGATTGCTCTTAGGTAAAAAAAACAAAAACACCTTTGTTTCTCAAATTTTGGTGATTTATGTTACTGTTCAAAGTAGTTGATTAATGATATGTCATTTTTAGCCCTTTATGCTCCATCATCCAGCTAAATTGTGGCTGTTTGCCTCCAAAATGTTGACATACTGTTGACACGTTACCATTCATGAAGCAGCATCATGTTATTGTGATGGCAACAAACACTGTGTGTCATATTCCAAGATCACATTTGGCCGAGGGATAAAACTGATTGTCAATTCAAGTAAGTTCTTTGTGTTTAAAATGTGTTTATCATCGGGTAAATTATGCAAACTAGAAATGGAAAAATAATCTTGATTAAATTTGGATGGGCCGATATAAAAATTACTTAACATGTCTTATATAATAATTATAATGCAAATGCTATCAAGCCAAATTTAAATTTGCTGTTACCCTTTTGTTTCACTTATCTTTTGACATCTTTAATTAGTGTACGTTCATGAGGAAGTTGGTTATGTAGTTATTGCTCAGACCAGATCCACTGTGTGACTTTGACTGGAAACAACAAAGTCATTTTTGGAGAAGGAACCAAACTAACTGTAGAAAACAGTGAGTATTAAGAATATTATATTATTAATATATTATATGTTAAACTTATGCCGACATATAAATGATCGTTCAATTTAATGGCCTAATTTATGTTAAATTTCAGCATGAAGCTGTTATTGAGTTATTTAAATATTTGCTCTGACAGTGAAAATTACCCTTTCAGAGATGTATGATTGACTCAGTGAATAGTTAGGGTATCTTTAAAATTCAAACACTTTTGGGGGAAAAAGAGCATAATTTTAGCTGGGTGACGAGTATTATTCATTTTATGTGGAATGAAATAAGTGGTTAAACGGTCTCAACCCATGGGGGAGCATGTCATCATTTACCTTTATAAGACAAAAAGGAAAAATCACCAATCACCTCTTTCTCTTGAAACTAAGTGTTGCTTGTTCCAATATTTACACGTTTTTTAAACATTACTCTATCCTAAACTATAGCGGAGATTATGACATTTATGTCA